CACACACCCACAGAGAGAGATCAATAGTGAAATAGCCTGGGAGGCTGGTTGCCGGGCAGTAATGGTCAGTGAGACAGGTGCTCCCAGTGAGGGAGATTAGGTCAAATTGAGTCAACATAACAGGGTCAGGGTCAGGGGAGAGGTAGATAGCCCAGCAACCAAGGAAGCATAAACTGTTTCTCTGTCCTTGGAGACATGCACCAGCCCTATGTATACCATGCCACAGTGGCTATGTAGTAAAGCGGACCAATAATTGACCAATCCGAACTCATCTCTCGGCATGTCCAGCCCATCCATTATCTCAGCCAATCATGAATAGCAGGAAGGTTCCTGTATTTTTCCATGGCTAAACCAACTAGGCTCGTAATTTAACAATTTCATTCGTATTTACAGATGGCATACAAGCTTGTTATTAAGGAACATGAAAGTTCACATGTTCCAGAAGGCATTTCTGGCCAAAAACATATTTTGATTAAAATAATTACAATAAAATAAAAATCTAATGCTACTCCTTTGAAGTAGTGACGTGTGACAATACGCCTAGTTTCTTGAAATGGGTCACAATTGTGCATTTGAGCTGAGAGTGATTCAGCCAATACCATGATACTGTTCACAACAGTAGTGCTGCCAATATAATCCCAGCGATACAGTTCAAGCGTTTCCTCCATCTGAATGTGAAGCATACAGTATCAAGGTAGTAGACAAAGTTCCCATACAACCTTGAAGTCATACAGCAGCAGATCTATTGCTGGTGCAAGTGTGTGTGATTAACTAGTGTGTTTGTGTGTGTGTGTGTGTGTGTGTGTATATATATATATATATATATATATATATATATATATATATATATATATATATATATATATGAGTCAGTATGACCGTGTGTGATTGTGTGTAATTGCTTGCCTGCCATTTTACCCACCTGCTCCTGAAAAGCCTATTCCCAGAACAACATCCATTCATGCTGATACACAACTGATGAGCTTGAACATCCCTGAGAGGATTGCATCACTGGGTAGATAATAAGTACTACATAACTGTCACGGTTTCGGCCGAGGCTGCTCCTCCTCCTTGCTCGGGCAGGCTTCGGCGGTCGTCGTCCCCGGAGTACTAGCTATCACCGTTTGATGTTTTCGATGTTTGTTTGGTTTTGTCTTTTGTGTACACCTGTTTCCTTTTTGGTTGATTATGTCTCCTATAAGTTCCTCGTTTTGTTAGTCATGTGTTGTGTGTTATTGTGCGCCTGTCTACTGGTGCGGCTCGTCATTTGTGATTTTGTATATTCCGGTCGTCGCACTGTATGGTTTCGTGCGCCTTGGATTATTTGTGTTTTGCGCATTGTTGCGCATAGTCCGCCTCCTACGTTGTTGAGGCCAGAGTCTGTTTATTTTTGTGTGTTCAGTAAAGTCGGTTGGACTTAGCTTCTGTGTCCTGCGTGTGACTCCTCCACCACATCCACATCAGCCAGTTCTGACAATAACTTTCCCTCTCCTCCCCTTCTCAGCTCTCCCTATGCCAGCAGTCTGTTTGCGTTCTTACCAAACCAATGGGTGCTGTGACAATTTCACGCAGCATTCAGAAGAGTTGCATGTTGCCATTGACAGAATGGGATAAAAGCGTGGCAAACAGAAGCCTAACCCCCCCGAGGGTCAAACACAGCCAAGTGAATAACCACCCCTCCACCCCATTCCCTCTCTCCTCTCCTCCTACTAATCCCTTCTTTTCATGTCCAGCGACGAGAGGCCTGTCCAGACCAGAAGGAAGACATTGCGTGCAAGACGGGCAGCAGCGGACCCATCTCCTCTCCTTTCCTTCGTTTAGAGACATCAATGGGTAATGCCTTGGGATCCAGACGTTCAAACTAAACAGCTCTTCAGGAGCAGAATCACAGCTGACACACAACAACACAAGACATAGAGGAGAGGAGAGGAGTAAGCTTTCCTTTGTGTTAGATACTTTAAGCTACTGCCTTCAACACAAACACTGACGCTGTGCATTGCTTAATCACAAAGCTCAACCAACGTAACTGCCATAGACACTGTGAGAGAAAAAACTGACAAAAAAATTGACTGCGTGCAAGCTGTGTGTAGCATTTTGAAAGTGCAGAGCGAGAGAAGAAAGTGGTCACTTTAATTCACCCCGCAGGGCACATTTCCATTTGAAAATCATTACCCGGGTCTTATCAGATGGAGAGAGAGAGAGAGAGAGGAGCGAGTGAGAGAGAGCGAGAGAGAGATAGATAGAGAGAGAGAGAGAGATAGAGAGAGATGCTTCGAGAAGAGAGAGAGCGCTCTCCTCTGCCTCCTCGCTCTCTCTCTTCTCTCTATCGCGCGATCTCTCTTATATCTCTCGCGATACTCTATCTCTCGCGCGATCTCTCTCTATCTCTTCTCGTCCTCTCGCGCTTCTCTCTCTCTCTCGCTAGATCTCTCTCTCTCCTCTCTCTTCTCTCCTCTCTCTCTCGCTCTTTTCCTTTTTTAATATAATCGCTCTCTGAATCGGTTCGAGATTCGATATAGAGAGAGCGAGATGTGTGGTCTAGCTCAGTCTGATATGTCTGTATGTCCTCACTGCAGTTGGGAGGGACAGCCAGTGAGCAGACTGTAATGTACTAACAGTGGTACTCCTCAAAGCTCCTACATGCCTCTTTAAGGCTCTTAACTAAAACACCATATGTTTCAAAAGCATATCACTGACAAAATGATACACCTCATGTCAAGTCAGAGCAGGTGTTTGGAAGAAAAGTTTAGCAATAGAAGAGAAACACTGCACAGGTTTTTTATGGAAAGTATGACTGTATTACTTATTGTGTCCCATGCAGATTGTTTGTTTGGTATTTGAATGCTTGAGGCTTCCCATCGTGTGAAAAAACTCTTAGGCGGCTCGCCCAAGGATTTCAATGGCATAAAAATCCTTGCATTGTATGATGGCACTTGTCAATAGCAATGAGTGTTCCGTGTCATGCCATGTAAAGTCAGCTATCACAATCAACACAAAGCAACTGCATCCAACGCCTTCAGGGGCTATAAGGTCTACTGTATAGTGGTACTGTGTGTAGTGGCACATTACTGAAGATCTGAGATGAGAATGCAAGTTCCTCTCTAGAGAGAGAGACATAGGTTTGAACTGAACAGAAAGATCCAAACAGGGAGGTGGAAAGTGACATGACAACACCCTCTCTTCTTCCCAAAGAACAGGATGATCACTGGCCAAAATCAACCAGGAAGAAGCTCTGTTTATTTCCTCTCCTAACTAAATGTTCTATCCTCTTCATCCTGTCATTCTCCTCTGGTTGCTTGGCAGATGTTAGGTGTATCCTGAGGTAATGGTGGAGCTGTAGAACATAGCGTTCAACTCCACATGTAATGTGTGTCTTATTTGTCTCTGCTGGTTATTTGCAGAGGCAGTTCTGTACAAGTGGACACAGAGACAGAACAGCGCTTCAGCTGGGATTACAACAGCAAACAGCTGCTGTCTGAGCCAAGTCATTAGTTCCTGAGAGATAGATGGTCTCCTTGGAGGGAGCTAGTCCTAGAAGACCAGGAAATATATAGACAGTGCAAGGAAAGGTTACTAAATGTAAGATAGGGACCTTCTAGCAGTCGTAAGGACAAAGATTCAGCAGGAGGCAGGCAGGTAGAGGTTCAATAGCTGTTTGGTTATTTAGATGCCCAGAGCAATAGATTGAGTGAACCACACATTTGTACTTTGTTGGAAAGAACTCTGTAGCTTCTTTCTTGCTTTATTCAAATGCATTTACTTAATGAGGACAATGAAGCATGGCAAGTGATAATTGTGAAAATGCGAGTGAGGGAAAGAGAGAGAGAGATAATACAAACTATGTCTGAGACTCCTTTCCTCTGTCCATCTCTGTCTGTCACACAGTAGCAGACTGTTGTCCATATGGTGAGCCCTGACACAAAGCAGGCATGATGCGAGGGCTGGAGCGAAGGCTTGTTTGAGAGAGCAGCACGCCCCTGTGATAAGGCATCCAGCCATGGGTGAGGAGTGAGGGGGATTTTCCTGCTACTCTCTGAGTGCTAGGAATGATGATGCTAATTCCTCCACACAGCCCTTATCTGAAAGGGGCACCTGAGTCTGCCAGGAGGAGCATGGGCAAAGACAGACAGACAGACAGAGACACATTCACACACAGCAAACAAACACACAGATAGATGTCTAGCACATGACGTACCATCAGAGACTGGGAAAGTGAATGTGATAAGGCTGCTGCGTAATCCCAGCATCCTGTGGGGGGTTAGGGGGTGCGCCCGTATCCCTCTGCTAGAGGAGATAAAGCAGGGGGAGAGGGGAACCCTTCACCAATACTGCCTCCCTCTCTCCCTCCTTCTTGACTTCTAGACAGCAGACGTCCCAGAGCACACTGGTGAGTCTGACCAAAAACATGGATTGTTTGCCCTTTCTTGTCCCATCCACAGTGCATCAGTTGGAGAGATAAAGAGACTGAGAGATGGAACAGAGGGATGGAAGAGAGGAAGCCCCTCACCAGGGAGCGATCCATTCCTTCCAACTGGCTGGGTTGAGTGGAATGATATAGATGTTGTCTCTCGCTTCCTTTCACCTCCATACAGATTCCCTCACTCATTCTAACAAGAATGATATAAAGCAGAGGGTATCTATTTCTGCTGAGAGACACGTTAGGTTGGAGGTATTCCTCAACAGTGCAGTGAAGAGTAAGCTAGATACGTGGCCTGGAGGATGAAAGAGGATTTAAAACATGCCTGCATGTCATAACATGAGCTACTAAATTGGATTACTTGGAGCACTTGGTTTATAATGAAATGATTACCCTACCTTGTTTTCATTGACAATCTACGTAACAAGACATTTTTGTCTTAAGGAATTCTTCACTTTATATAGAACTACTGCTGCATTGTTAGTGTTAACAGCAGTTCATCTTAAATATTTTCAAGGGAACTTCAGGAGAGAGAGAGAGAGAGAGAGAGAGAGAGAGAGAGAGAGAGAGAGAGAGAGAGAGAATGTTTCTACAGCAGCTGTGAGGGTGACAGCAGAACAAAGGGGTTCCATTAGGACCCTGTCCCCCGTTACTGTTAGATCGTCCCCTACTGGTAGGGGAACCCTGTCCCCACTGTTGATCCTTCCCTACTGTTAGGATCCTGTCCCCTACTGTTAGGACCTGTCCCCTACTGTAGTGATCCTGTCCCAACTTTAGGATGCCTTCCACTACTGTGTATGACCCTGTCCCTACTGTTAGGATCCTGTCCCCACTTTAGTGACCCTGTCCCCCCTACGTTAGGATCCTGTCCCCTACTGTGTAGGACCCTGTCCCCGTACTGTTAGGATCCTGTCCCCTACTGTTTAGGCCACTGTCCCGCCCTACTGTTAGGATCCTGTCCCCTACTGTTGAGGAATCCTGTTCCCCCTCTGTTGGATCCTGTCCCCTACTGTTGGTCCTTTCCCCTACTGTTGGACCTGGTCCCCTACTGGTAGGATCCTGTCCCCTACTGTTTAGATCCTTCCCCTACTGTTAGGAAAAACCCTGTCCCCTACTGTTAGGAATTCCTGCCCCTAACTTTTAGACCCTGTCCTCCCCCGCCCCTGAACTGTTACAGGATCCTGGGTCCACTTAACTGTTAGGACCTGTCCCCTACTGTTTTTAGGATCCTGTCCCCCTACTGTTCGGAATCCTGTCCCCCGACTGTATGATCCCTGTCCCCTCTGTTAGCACCAATGTCCCCCATACTGTAGGATCCTGTCCCCAACTGTTAGGGGAATCCTGTCCCCTACTGTTAGGACCCTGTCCCCTACTGTTAGGATCCTGTCCCCTACTGTTAGGATCCTGTCCCCTACTGTTAGCACCCTGTCCCCTACTGTTAGGACCCTGTCCCCTACTGTTAGGATCCTGTCCACTACTGTTAGGATCCTGTCCCCTACTGTTAGGATCCTGTCCCCTACTGTTAGGATCCTGTCCCCTACTGTTAGGATCCTGTCCCCTACTGTTAGCACCATGTCCCCTACTGTTAGGATCCTGTCCACTACTGTTAGGATCCTGTCCCTACTGTTAGGATCCTGTCCCCTACTGTTAGGATCATGTCCACTACTGTTAGGATCCTGTCCCCAACTGTTAGGATCCTGTCCCTACTTACTCAGTCCCTACGTTGGATCCTGTCCCCTACTGTTAGGATCCTGTCCCCTACTGTTAGGATCCTGTCCCCTACTGTTAGCACCCTGTCCCCTACTGTTAGGACCCTGTCCCCTACTGTTAGGATCCTGTCCCCTCCTGTTAGCACCATGTCCCCTACTGTTAGGATCCTGTCCCCTACTGTTAGGATCCTGTCCCCACTGTTAGCACCATGTCCCCTACTGTTAGGATCCTGTCCCCTACTGTTAGGATCCTGTCCCCTACTGTTAGCACCCTGTCCCCTACTGTTAGGACCCTGTCCCCTACTGTTAGGATCCTGTCCCCTACTGTTATGATCCTGTCCCCTACTGTTAGCACCATGTCCCCTACTGTTAGGATCCTGTCCCCAACTGTTAGGATCCTGTCCCCTACTGTTAGGATCCTGTCCACTACTGTTAGGATCCTGTCCCCTACTGTTAGGACCCTGTCCACTACTGTTAGGATCCTGTTCCCCTACTGTTAGGATCCTGTCCCCCTACTGTTAGGATCATGTCCACTACTGTTAGGATCCTGTCCCCTACTGTTAGGATCCTGTCCCCTACTGTTAGCACCCTGTCCCCTACTGTTAGGACCCTGTCCCCTACTGTTAGGATCCTGTCCACTACTGTTAGGATCCTGTCCCCTACTGTTAGGATCCTGTCCCCTACTGTTAGGATCCTGTCCCCTACTGTTAGGATCCTGTCCACTACTGTTAGGATCCTGTCCCCTACTGTTAGGATCATGTCCCCTACTGTTAGGATCCTGTCCCCTACTGTTAGGATCCTGTCCCCTACTGTTAGGACCCTGTCCCCTACTGTTAGGATCCTGTCCCCTACTGTTAGGATCCTGTCCCCTACTGTTAGGATCCTGTCCCCTACTGTTAGGATCCTGTCCACTACTGTTAGGATCCTGTCCCCTACTGTTAGGACCCTGTCCCCTACTGTTAGGATCCTGTCCCCTACTGTTAGGATCCTGTCCCAGTACTGTTAGGATCCTGTCCCCTACTGTTAGGACCCTGTCCCCTACTGTTAGGATCCTGTCCCCTACTGTTAGGATCCTGTCCCCTACTGTTAGGATCCTGTCCCCTACTGTTAGGACCCTGTCCCCTACTGTTAGGATCCTGTCCCCTACTGTTAGGATCCTGTCCACTACTGTTAGGATCCTGTCCCCTACTGTTAGCACCCTGTCCCCTACTGTTAGGACCCTGTCCCCTACTGTTAGGACCCTGTCCCCTACTGTTAGGATCCTGTCCCCTCCTGTTAGGATCCTGTCCCCTCCTGTTAGGATCCAGTCCCAGTACTGTCCCCTCCTGTTAGGACCCTGTCACCTACTGTTAGGATCCTGGGCCCAGATTGACAAAACCTTCTTAAGAAGAAATGTCTTCTTAACTGCCATTTTTTCCTTAACTATAGGCATATGAAGAAAGGTAAGCAAAGATGCTATTCCTCAAAAAGGTTATTGGAAATGTTATTGTGTTATTTCTTATGTTTCTCCTTAAGCAAAAAGTTGAGAAAAAAAAAAGAAAAAATAAATTGATTCTTGAAAATAAAGTTATTGAATTTGTTCTTGGAAATGTTCTTAATTCCAAGATAGCTAAACCCAATTGTCTTATAGTCATGGTAGTGAGAGAATAAGCTCATGAAAGCAATTGAACATGTTTAATTCACTCACAGACTTCATCTGAAAGTTTCAGTATTGATTATTTTAAACCCAATAATGTTTTAGAACAGTAATCTCAGTACGAAATATGCTAACATGATTGCCATAGCTAGCTAAATCGGTTGCCTAGCAACAATCATGTTAAGAAGATGGTTAAGAAATTCGTAAGAAGATATTTGAGAAGTTTGTAAGAAAATCATTAAATCTTAAGATATTGTTGAGGAATTGCATTTATGAATTTATTGCACTTATGACCCTGTCCCCTCCTGATAGGAACCTGTCCCCTCCTGTTAGGACCCTGTCCCCTCCTGTTAGGACCCTGTCCCCTACTGTCCTGTGCACCTAGGAGCAGGTCACACATCCACAGTCATAGACACCAATGGTTGCCATTACAGCCATTCCTAAACTGTGGACCTAATCTCACTAAGCAAAACTAGGGGTGTTAGTGGTTTTGCTTTTGTGTGAGAGAACAATCACACTGAAGTCATTGCATGTGTGTTGGATTATTCCTTTGTACCATGTACAGTAAAACCCTTCTACTCTGCCAACCTACCCCAACCTTCTCACTTCAAGTACCTCAACATTTTACAAATATTTTACAACCAGCCAACCTGAGGAACACAGTCAGAGGTTAAAACCTTAAACCGACAAGGCATATTTGAGTAAATAAATTGTGAGAGATTATCCAAACACACATATTGTGTGGAGCGAAACCCACAAAACCCAAGACAATGTAAACAACCTGTGGAATGAAAGGCCGGGCTAGCCTTGACCTCCGTTTGGCTTCTCAGACGTTCCTTAGCAGGTCATTAGCCTGTTTAGCTTCCACTCTGCTCTTATCACCGTGAGGATCTGTCCACTCAGGAGACTGGCTGAGTCAGCTAGAAACGGAGAGAGGCAGTCTGGGAGAATAGTGAGGCGGCTCCCTCCCATCTGATTGGCCCTGGGCCGGAAGCCTCAGGAAGCCAGCGGTGGCAGCCGATTGATGACATCATCAGCCTCATCTCCATGTAGGTAAGTAAAGCCAGTTGGTATTGAGCTGAGCCTTCTTTCATTTAGGAACTTTTAATTGAAGTTATCTAATGCTTAGGTCATTAGGTGTCCCAGTCCCTCAGACTCCCACTCTGCATCTCCTCTCATCTCTGCTATACTCATTTCACTCCTGCTGTTCAATTTCCACACCCGTCTGAAAGGGGATTTTCGAATATAGCTCAAACAGCAAAGATGAGAGGAGTGTGGGAATGCTTGTCTGAGTCAATGCTGCCTGCAATGGAGAAATATCACCAGCAGTAGAGAATCTCTTAAAGAGGGTAGTGGACAAATCTGAGACAAACTCTATATCTTCTAGATAGTGAGTGAGTGAGTGAGTGAGTGAGTGAGTGAGTGAGTGAGTGTGTGTGTGTGTGTGTGTGTGTGTGTGTGTGTGTGTGTGTGTGTGTGTGTGTGTGTGTGTGTGTGTATAAAGAGGGGGCCATCACTCAGTCTAAATCCTAGAGTATGTGTTAGGAGGGTTAAAGAGAAGAAGAGAGAGATAGAGAGAGAGAGAGAGAGAGAGAGAGAGAGAAGAGAGAGAGAGAGAGAGAGAGACGAGAGAGAGAGAGAGAGAGCTAGAGAGAGCGAGAGAGAGAGAGAGATACGAGAGAGAGAGCAGATAGCGATAGAGAGAGCTCGAGCGGCGCTCTCTAGGAGAGCGAAGAGAGATAGACGAGCTAAGAGAGATAGAGAGTCTCCCGCTCTAGTGTTTAGTTCGAGAGACAACTCTCCATCAGTCTAATACATGTCGGGGAGGCAGGGAGGCGCATACTGGGTGTGAAATGAGACCCCTGGGTATGAGGGATAGAGAGAAGTACAAAAAGTCCAGCTCCATCCATCACACACACAGAGGAGTGACATATTGACTAGCGAGCCAGCAGGGCTCAGAGCCAGTCTGGACCTACAGGCTTCAATGCATTCCAACTACATGACGTCACAGGCTCTAGTCTCGAGCATTGATCCCAAATCCTAGCTATAAATGTATTAATAGTGCATGTGACGGTCCTGATTCTGATGGTAATTATTAGTATGATGATGATGAAATGCCATTAATGATGAAGGGTGATGATTATGTTAGGAGGAGCAGAGGAGGTGGAGGAGGAGCGAGGAGGTGGTGTGGTGCTGTCTAAGCAGGTTTAATCTCAGTAGGAGGTCTTGGGCGGGGGGGTGCAGCCAGCGATTGAGATGTCATACCGGTACCTTTCTCAGAATTGACTAGAGTTGACGGGTCGGGCGGAATGGGGAGGGCGTCTGGGTAGGGTAACTGCTGAAAAGGATAGTTTTAGCATCACATGATTGTGTAACAATAACAAGGGAATCACTGTACTTCCAGGAATTGGATTAGAGCCATTTGTAATGAGAATGGTCTGGTCTCCCCAAGAGTCCACTCATAGGGAATGGCCATGTTCTACTCTATCTTGGTAACACATCACCATATGATATGGGTATCAAAGAGGACAAGGGACCTGGAACTTACAGAAGCCATCAGATGGACAGGTGAAGACAGTGAGAGGGATCGACCAGTGTGACAGAGAGTGAGAGAAGGTCTTGTATAGGGCATGGTATATTTGCTTTGAGTATGTGTTAGTTTGAGTATTAACACATACTCAAATGTGTTACCTATGTGTTAGTTTGCATTTTAACTAAGTTGTAGACAAGCCAGATTTCGGCCACGGTCACCGTATGTGTTTAAAGGTGGGAGGAGGTGTTATTCTTGGGGATGATCATGTCAGTTCAGATCTGACATCACAGACTAGGGCTTCAGAGGGGCTCATCTCCTATTAATGTCCCTGTGCAGAGGAGAACAACGGAGGTTTGCCCGCTAGGGGTGACAAAACACGGAATGTGTGTGTGTTTGTATGTCTCTCTCGAAGCAGAAGGGGGTATTTACCATTTTTTCAAAGCTGTAGTAAACTTGGGGCCTCTATGTACTGCCTGTCTCCATCACAATATCCAACACAAGAGAAAAACTATTCTCCCTGTGCGCTGACTTGGTGAAGCGTGAAAGAACACGTGTCAAACTGGGTGCGGAGAGGAGAGTGTCATGTCAGATCAGGCCGAGGGGTTGGCGGCTGTAAACCTCCGGGACAGCCAGAGACACCGTGCAGCCTGTGTGTGTGGCAGACCGCAAATCTTTTCAAATTTCTCTCTTCCCCAAAACACTGCTAACAGGCTGTCGGTGTGCTGTGGTGATTGCTGGAGGCGAAGCTGCCACAAACGAACTCTTGGAACGCCAGCCTCTGAACACCAAACGCAGAATAATGCATGCTAATGAGAGGGCGGATCAAAGTTTGGTGGCCGGCTCTCGCTTTGGTTAATAATTCTCTGTGATGAGGTGGGTTGATGTGGCTGTCACTCTGCGAACGCCTGTCACTTCAAGACTGGAGGAGGACACAATAGGCTTTTTGTCATCAACCGACTGGTCACACACACACACACACACACACACACACACACACACACACACACACACACACACACACACACACACACACACACACACACACACTGCAGACACGCACACACACACTGCAGACACACACACACACACATACACACACACTGCAGACACACACACACACTGCACACACACACACACACACACACACACAGCAGACACACACACACACATTCACTCACTCACTCTCACTATACAACTCACACACACACAAACAAAATCTACCCATAACCACATACATCATGAAGGAGAGTGTAGATGGACAGAGGAGCCAGAAGAGGAGGAGAGACACTCATATCTTTCTTGGTTTTGCTGTCCAAAGCGGTCTCCCTTAA